GTTGCGCGATCGCGAACTATCTTGATATGAGGTGCAAACGTTAATTGGTTATCTAATGTACCTCCCAAGTACTTGACTCGGTCCCGCCAGGGGATGACCCGCTCAAATAATTGGATGCTCGGAAGAGAACGCGTGGGAGGCGAGAGAGAGAGAAAGAGGATCGCGACGCTTTTTCCCGGATTAACCTCGATCTACGAAACCAATCTTCAAGGGTGGTAGCGGCTGATTGACGTCTATTACAGACTGTTCCGAGACGTCTATCGGAGGTATAGAGGGCGGTGTTGTCGGTGAAAAGCGCGAGATCGACTTTAGGAGTCTTGGGTATGTCGTTCGTGAAGACCGAGTAGAGGAAGGGCGAGAGTGGCGAGCCCTGAGGGACGCCGGCGCGGATAGGGCGGGGCGAGGAGAGCGTTCCTTCGACACGATAGCGAAACGAGCAATTCGACAAAAAGTCCTATATGATGAGCACGAGTCTGTCCGGCACCCCGAGTTTCTTTAGCTTATAAATTAAGCCATTAAGACAGATTTTATCGAATGCTTTTAAAGTGACAGTATCATTTTTAGACTAACTGGGGTTTAAGTTTAGTCACTATTTTGTAATAAGGCTAAGTCTAATTAATTATGGCAATATTATTTTACATGGGATTTTTTTTAGATCATCACAGACACACTAAATATGATTGTGAAGCGACAGCCTGATATCGCCTGGAACTATAGTGTGTCACCGATGGAGAGTATTATGCTTATAGACCCAGAAGAGGTTAATCTGGAGGCTACTTTCAAGGTTGAGAAAGTGAAGTCTGAATTGAACTTAGAGGAGATGCAGGATCAAAGTGAAACAGGTATTTGTTATTAGTATATATGCCAACCTCCATGGTGTGAGTGGTATGTACACCGGTTTTCGAGGTGTCACCTACTCAGAGGTCCTGGGTTCGAATCCTGGTGGGACAAATGTTTGTGTGATGAATAGGTACGAACTTTTTGTTCCCAAGTCATGGCTGTTTATATTTGTTTCTAGAAAACTATACTTCACTTCATTATATTATGTAAATTAGTTATATTCATTATATGTAGGGTGTCCAGTGGTCCACATTAATATGTGGTCCACATTAATTGGTGTATGCGGGAATTTCTAATGAAAATCAGGGAAAACAAGGGAAGCTCAAGTCTTTGATTATATACCCCTAGGTACCACATTACCTGCACGGAAGCAGCACAAAAATATCTACTACATTTGGTAGATATGCTCGTGCTTACAATTTTAGTACAATCTGACATTAGAGTCACGCACACATTGAGCGAAACATGAGCCGTTTTCTTAGCGTGATTTATTTAAATTGGTCACACACACTGACATAACAAATAATTTGGCAAATCAAATATCTGCAAATGCATTCGGCTGTTCGTTCATTGGGTGAGATCATGTCATAAAGAAGGGTCATGTATACCACTTTGCAATGACTACTGGTGGCCAACAGGAACATAAATCTTTCACAAACCGTTATGCAGGAAAGCTGTGATCAGTTATGTAAGTGGAAACATGATGTATGATTGGTGATAAATGGGCAAGAAACTAAAATAATTGACATACACTCATCACATAACAGGACACCTGACACAACGACCATCCTGGCTTACGGTCATCACTGCCTGAATAGTGATAGGAATGTTTGCTCGGGTCCAACTTCAGAGATTATTATATATAGGGTGAAATTTAATGTTTTAATGAAACTTCGTGAGATTGTTGGGTTACGTGTATAGAGTTTGCCTGATTTTTTTCGGATTTTTTTGAAATAATTTTTTTCATGTATTTACTTATAATTTGTGTATTTTAATGTCCTTTCCTCCTTTTGTGTAGTTTTTCATTTTAAACAAGCATACTTACATATCCAGTGAAAAACAACTATTAAATAAGCATTTCTAAAAAACTGAAAAACGGTAATATTAAGCTTGCGCGGCCACCGCGGGTCAACGACCGACCGCGCCCGCCAGCCGTTGAGTGAGTAGGTACACAGAGCTCAGCTGACTCCTTTGCTTCCACACAATACAATAAAATCGTCTTAGATGCCTTCATTGAAATAATAAGCACAAATGTCATCTTCTCTTAAGCAGAGAAAAACTTAAAAAGTTAATAATAATTTTGTCACGATTGGAAATAGGCAAATATTAAACAAAAAGAAATACTTATTGCAGTCCAATACTTGGATCAGAATGAAATTTATAACCAGGTATTTAAAAGTACTTACGAGACCGATGTATCGATTAATTTTTTTCACTATAACTTCCCGTATACACTTTGTAAACAGAATCAATCACTAAACCTACTTTCGTAAAGCCTTGTGGCTCTGCCGAGTATTCCGTGACACTACAATTGGTATATTTACCTTTCTCTATGCACTACAATAACAACACACCATATCCAACTTCTTATATTGAGGCCACAGAACAAGGAATTATTTGCAAATCTTGTCTTGTCACAAATTTAAAAGATACGCACGCGCGGTGGATAGACTTGAGACTCCGCTCGCTCACTGCGCTTTGCACCGCGCATAGGTAGGTAGGAAGGTATTCAACGGCGGGAGCGGTCATTTTAAAAAATCCGAAAAAATTCATTGATACTCTATATACGTAACCCAACAATCCCACGAAGTTTCATTAAAACATTCAATTTCACCCTATATATATTTTTAGAAAATCAGACTTGTTCTATTCATTGTATGTACCGCCTGAAATACTTTTGATTAGGTTTGAATTATTTCTTTATTGAACAGCAAGTAAGTATTGTTGTTACCGTTGGGTATATAACTTTCTTGGGTCAGACGAACACAACGCCATCTGTAATAAAATATGCGTTTTCTTCCTCATTACACGGCTGCCAAAAGGAGATGATATTATCAGAGTTCATGTATGGTAAATTTTTTATATAATGTTAGTTACACATTTTTAGTTTTTAATGCCCCTACAAAATATAAGCCCGATAATGATTATTATAAAAAAAGAAAAACCGGCCAAGTGCGTGTCGTGCCACGCGCAGTGCACCACAAAATATTTTGGAAAGAGTGTTTATTTTTAGCAATTACTTCCTGTCCCTTTAAATGTTTTAGGGAAATTCATTAGGTCAGATATATTTGTTGTACACCAAACCAGGATGGGTTCCTTCTATTAAGTGTTTAACATCTGTACCAGAAGGAACCACTCTTTCATAGCATTATTAATATATCTTATGGTGAAGGCTTAATTTTATTTCATTAGATTTTTAAAAGATTATTAAGTATGTAATAAATTATAATTTATATAAGCGGTTGTGTGTGTTCGTGTGCGTGTTTAGTCGTTATCGTACGATAACCAATTAGCGAAGTATTGTTCAACACTTCAATCACGTGGTGTAAGATTTCATAGAGACCAGTCGAAAACGCATCTTATGCGACAGAGGCAGCCTAAGGAGGCCCCACGGCGTCGCTAATGGCAGATCTACATTTACCTGTTGTCTTGTATTGCGACGCATGAGAGAGCTATCTGTTTCATACATTTAATATGATTAGAGAGATAACAGTGTCGACACATCGTGGTACTTTAGTGTTCTAACCGTGCTAAAAGTATGAAACCGATCGCCTCATAACAAAACGCGACAGTTATAAGTATATTTCTGCTTTTGACAATCCAAGTCCCGTACAATCCGAAGTAGACGAAATCTAAATGGAGACGTAGATATGATTACACTAGACGCACTAGATAGAGGCGATTTTAATACAAAGGACAATGGGGCTAAAATGTATGGACGCAGCACCCACGTCCGCCACGGCTTAAACTGCATTTGTCTGAAAGGTATTATAGTCATTATCAACTGTGCCAAAGCGCATCAAATTCCATCCCGGGGGCCTTTAGTTATTTTAAGTTAAATAGGTACAAGAACTGTAACGAATGAACATTAATCAAACAAGGGAATTAATTTCCTATTTAGTTCGACACAAATTATAGGGCTCCGATGTGTTATTCTGCCGCGCTAGTAGTAAATCTGTTCGTTATAGTAATTGTTTTCTACGTGAAACGGAGCTACCACAAATCACAGAAACTTGGCAACGCCTCGGAGAACACATGATCACCAATTCATCCATACTATTTGAGTCGTATAATATTAATAGCGGCAAAGTAGGTCGAACCAAATATTAGGCAAATAAAAAAAACTGTTTAGTTTCGTCTTTAAGGGAGGATTTTTGAAATGGACACGCCAATTATTTTCAGAATAGCACAAAAAATACTAACTTAATCGACAGGCAATCATGGGTCACATTATTTCAACGACATCTGTAATCAGCTTTGCGTTTTCTTTCCCATTACACGACTACCAAAAAAGGAGTGTAATTTTTCAGAATTCTTATATTTTATGAATATTTGTCTGTTGTTAGTGTCTAGCGAACACGTTTTTATGACCCATGAAATAACGGCCGATGATTATTATTAACAAAATAATATAATATTACAGGAGCAGAACTGTCCAATGAAAAGGACAAAGAATACCAACTTGATTCTCCAACAGCGTCAACAACAACCGAAGAAACTACAGGAGCAGGAAACGAAGTCCAAAATATTGATGTCAAGATAATTACAGAATACAATTATAACGACAGTCTCTCTAAACCAACAATTTTTACAAAAAATAGTGACGTACATAATGCGGTAAAGAACAAACACAACAAAGTCAAAAATCATAGAGAAAATTTGACATGCGATACCTGCAAAAACGTATTTTTTTGTAAAAGAAATTTAGAAAGTCATATAACTAAATTTCATACTGAAATATCCGTCATAGCTAACCAAAATTGTACCAACACTAAAGAAAACTGTAATGAAAATGATAATAAAACCAAATTGGAGAGCATTATTGGTTCTGTAACGAGAAGCAACCGTGGACATTCGATAAATAAACGCGATATTAAGACAGATATAAAAGAAAACCCATATAATTCTAGTATCTGCGACAAAAGATTTACTCAAAATAGTAAGTTAGTCACACATCAAAGAACTCACACGGGAGAGAAACCTTATAAATGTAACGTCTGTGATAAAAGATTTACTAAAAGTGGTGATTTATCCACACATCAAAGAATTCATACGGGAGAGAAACCTTATAAATGTAACATCTGTGATAAAAGATTTACTCTAAGTTGTACTTTAGCCACACATCAAAGAACTCACACAGGAGAGAAACCTTATAAATGTAACATCTGCGATAAAAGATTTACTCAGTCTAGGAATTTATCCAGACATCAAAGAATTCACACAGGTGAGAAACCTTATAAATGTAACATATGTGATAAAAGATTTACTAAAAGTAATGATTTGTCCAAACATCAAAGAATTCATACGGGAGAGAAACCTTATAAATGCAAAGTCTGCGATAAAAGATTTACTGAAAGTGGTACTTTATCCACACATCAAAGAATTCATACGGGAGAGAAACCTTATAAATGTAACGTCTGCGATAAAAGATTTACGCAAACTAGTCATTTACATAGTCATCAAAGGATTCACACAGGGGAGAAACCTTATAAATGTAACATCTGTGATAAAAGATTTACTCTAAGTTGTACTTTAGCCACACATCAAAGAACTCACACGGGAGAGAAACCTTATAAATGTAACATCTGCGATAAAAGATTTACTCAGAGTGGTTGTTTATCCAGTCATCAAAGAATTCCTACAGGGGTGAGAAACCTTATAAATGTAACGTCTGCGATAAAAGATTTACTGAAAATAGTAATTTAGCCACACATCAAAGAACTCACACAGGAGAGAAACCTTATAAATGTAACGTCTGCGATAAAAGATTTACTCTAAACCGTAATTTAGCCACACATCAAAGAACTCACACAGGAGAGAAACCTTATAAATGTAACGTCTGCGATAAAAGATTTACTCTAAACAGTTATTTAGCCACACATCAAAGAACTCACACAGGAGAGAAACCTTATAAATGTAACATCTGTAATAAAAGATTTACTGCAAGTGGCGATTTGTCCAAACATCAAAGAATACACACAGGAGAGAAACCTTATAAATGTAACGTCTGCGATAAAAGATTTACTCTAAATAGTAAATTATCCTCACATCAAAGAATTCATACAGGAGAGAAATCTTATAAATGTAACGTCTGTGATAAAAGATTTACTGATGGTAGTTATTTATCCAAACATAAAATTATTCACACATGAGAGAAACCTTATAAATATACCTAGATAATAATATGTGTTAAACAAATATTAACCATTTATAAGCCATTTCTACAAACATCGAAGAATTCACACGGGAAATAAAGTGAGCCAACGCGCACTTGGGATTTGTGATCGACCAATAATTTAGTCGTTATCGTACGATAACCAATCACCGAAGTATTGTTAATACTTCAATCTCATGGTGTATGATTTCAGAGGGACCAAACTGAAACGCATCTTAAGCGCAAAGGCGGCCTTAGGGGGCTCCGCGGCCTCGCTTTTGCAGGACTACATTTATCTGTCGTGTTGTGCTGTGACTCATCAGAGAGCTATCTGTTTCATACAATAGAATGATTACAGTAAGAACGGTGTCAACACATCATATATAGATAAGACTTTATTCACACCAACATGCACACATACAAAATTGACAAGACAAATTTTACAATTGGATAAATCCTTTAAAACAGGCAACAAATTATATTTATACAACTATACAAAGATATTTTCGTGTGCAGTCCAAGCCGAGGTAGGCAAAAGCTGAATGAAGTTGGAATGACTACATAAATATGATTATTCTAGATAAAAGTGATTTTAATAAAAAAATGCAAGGAGACAGTCGTAACTCAGCATAGATCCTGTTGCGTAGACACTTAATACACAAAACTGCACCAATTTTGATGACATTATTTATAGCATTTATTCACTCCTTGTAACGATATACTACCCAAACCACCATATTATAATAAACGCCGAATAAGCATTGACTAGTAACGCCATGTTTTGTTCACATCACTCAAATGCCGTTTATCATTCAATGAACAGAGACGAACAGAGAGAGCAGCAGAGATGATTGCTGATGTATTTACAAAATCTCTTAATACTGTTAAACATAAGCAGTTTGTCAGTAAATTAAACTTGTTAGAATAGAATAATTATGTTCCTAATTTCCTATAGTTAAATTCTTTTATTGTAAAATAGTCATAGAATCAGTTGTTTGTTTGACATGTGTTTCTAAATGTTGAAACACAAAATGGAATCTTTTAGGACATTGTTCTGCGTCCATACATAGTTAGCCTAAGAACCAACAATCATGAAATATTATTTTCTAGGTTCGAAATCGCAAGTAAATGACTGTAAAAACAAAGATTATTGACGGACACTTCTGAAAACTTTAATTATTAGGAAAACTAAAATTTTTTTGAGGTTATGTTTAATATTCAAAGAAACATAGGTCAACCTATGAACTTAGTATGAAGTGAATTAATATTACAACTAATTCATTTTATTTCGGTGCGATTTTAAAGAATAACTATTAGGAAAAACTTGGTTAGGTAGGAATCATGAATAAAATAAAAACAATAGTTCTGCTTCTTATTATTTATTGACTATTTTTCACATAATTGTATCATATTGTATTTATTTGTTTATATTGTATAAATATGCAGCGTGAATGTATATCAGGTGCTCTTGAATAATTTGGCAGTATGCTCCTCTCAGGATGTTGTGGCACAGGTTCACTAGCACTTGGTAATAAGGTCTCTGCTCTTTGGTAATATCTAATATGCCATATTGGATAGGCGAAATAGTAATAGTTAAATTAAAGGAAAAACAATCGCAAATAAACACACACAACAGGTAATCCGAACGAGAATTTTCCGTATGTAAAAAGTACTCTTTGGCGAGAATGCACGAATGCCACTATGCCACTGATTACTGCGAATGCAAACTGCCTGCACCGCAACCACAGAGTATCGAGTTTATGCCGGCCCTTCACTTGACAACAGTTTGTCCTTGTCATGCTTAATAAGGAATGAAAAGGACAGACTGATGTCATGTTTTTAAATAGCAAATACGAATAGCCAAGTGAAGTGCCGGCATTAGGAAGAAAGTGTTTTTTGTTTGCAGCGCTGTCATAGACTATTCACATAAAATGGTATTTATTGTCTCAGATTATTGATTAACTTTTTAATTTAGCTTACTTAACTGGAAGTGTCCGTCAAAATCTAAATACAAATAATTACTGCAAAAAATATACTAAGAATTATCATAAATGCCAAATTGGTGTTGGTTCTTAGGCCAATTTTAACATTGTCCTTTGTGTAATTTTTTGTGACATTGTGACTATTGTGTAGAGTCAGATGGTATATTATTTTGTGTAATTTGTAGAAACCAAAGTGTAAGGTTGAGTTTATTGAATTATAATTTTAAGGGGAAGTGTTGATGGTTAAAATTATCCTTCATGTATAGCAACACTATACTACTGGCAACACTGGTGTTTACATCTCTCGTTACCTTTTTTGCTCTGCCTTTCTATAATGTCCATTTTGTATTCGCTACTTTGTTTTTACATCCATTTAAATATAAGATCATTTGGACATGTAATTGCCTCATTTATTGTGTCTAATAAATACAAGTGCAATACGAGTTGAAGACAATATTATTTCAGCTGAACTCATCTAATAACCTGAACCTCATTCCACACATGGTTGAAGCTAAGCGACCATCCAATATATCCAACAATCTGCTTTAAAATTGAGTTGCAAGATTCCACCCGAACAAACATAGTTACATACCTACTGTACGCGACGACCGAAGCGAGAGAAAATGAACTTACGACATTATTGTTACTCTTTATTGTTATTTACAACAAATGGCGGACTTAATGCCACATGGCATTCTCTACCAGTCAACCATCGGGCTAAGCAGAGACAATTATGCGGTTAAGTAAATAAAAGCAAAAGGTGAAAGGAAAGAAAAAAAAAAAAATTGATAAAACTACATGATACTTAATATAAAATTATAATACATAACATCTATAAATATACTTACATAACTACATATATATACATACATATTTATATATACGATAAATACCTAAATATATACAATAATAAATACCTCTATACTTACTTAACAATACTATAATAAAACAAAATACAAATAATAATAAAATATAATAAAAATAAAATTAATATTAGGCGGATTGACCAGAGTTTGATTATAATATACTTAGAAATTGAAATTGTTATGACTTCTTAGCGAAATGCCGACGTACGAGGACCTTGAAAGCAGGTTTACTGGGTGCTTTTCTCACACTCTCCGGAAGATCGTTCCAGAGACGAATAGCTTGGAGACAAAATGAGTTTGATACGAAGCTGGAGCAGTGGGAGGGGATGGACAAAAGAAGATTTTCAGATGAACGAAGAGGACGAGAGTGTGTGGAACTTAAAAACTGAAATTTGGACTTCAGGTAAGACGGAGCATTAGGGTCAAAAAGAATTGAGAACAGAGATGTGAGAATTCTTAAATCACGACGGTCTGAAAGAGGCGGCCAATTGAGTTCACGGCGAAATGAAGTAATATGATCATATTTCCGTAGACTGAATATGAATCGAATACAGCTGTTAAGAGACCGCTCCAATTTACCAAGAAGATCTTTATTTAGGTCAGGATAACACACATCAGCATAATCTATGGATGGTAGGACAAGAGCCTGAATTAAAGAGATTTTTGTGTGAACAGGGAGAAAATTTTTATATCTATATAGGGCACGGAGCATATTTGTGACCCGCCGACATGTCTCGTTAATGTGAGTGGACCAGCCAAAGGTACTGTCAATGTACAAACCAAGATTCTTAACACTTGTAGAAAAAGGAATTTGCATGCCATTATAGACAATTGGACTTACAGCGCCAATATCAACCTTACATATTTGGCGAGATCCACCAATAATAATAGCCTGGCACTTAGTCGGGTTGACGACAACACCAAAGCGCTCAGACCGCTTGCAGAGCATATCAAGATCCTCATTGAGGAGAGATATAGTAGAGTCAATCTCATCAGAACTGCAACGGCGGTATAACTGCAAGTCGTCGGCGTACAAATGAAACGAACAGCGAAGAAAAGTGGATATGAAATTGATAAAAACGGAAAAAAGAAGTGGCGATAGGATACCGCCCTGAGGAACGCCAGCCGCTAAGCTGCACCAATCGGACTGCGATTTGTCAACACGAACCGCTTGATGGCGGTCGTGCAGGTATGAGGAAAACCATTTTAAGGTGGATGGAGATACACTAAGGTGTGCCAGAAAGGCAAGGAGAATATCATGGTCGACAGTGTTAAAAGCATTGGTAAAATCAATCAGCACGAGCACTGTCAACTTGCCAAGCTCCATACCATCTCTGACATCCTCAGTGACTTTAAGAAGAGCAGTAGACGTACTGTGTCCTGGGCGAAAACCAGATTGATATTGTGAGAGTAATGAGTTGTCTAGAATAAATTTAGAAAGCTGTTTTTGTGCCACTGCTTCCAGGACTTTAGAGAGGAACGGCAAAATAGAAATGGGTCTAAAGTGGCTCAATACCTTAGGGTTATTAGTTTTTGGGAGAGGAATTATAAAGGCCTTTCTCCACAAGGAAGGGAACGAACCATTCTCGAAGGAAAAATTTATGATATGTGTTAAAATTGGGATTATGTAATCCTGAATATTTAGAAGCATAGTGCGACTGATGCCGTCGCAGCCGACAGCGTTAGAACTTAGGGAACGAAAAATTTCTTTAACATGGTCAGTTGACACTAAGGAGAAGGAGAAAGGCTCGATATCACGAGACGGAATAGATTTTAATTCAGAAATCGTGTTGGATTTGGTGATACAGTCTAGAGGTGAAATTGAAGAGAAATGAGAGTTAAGTTCGTTAAGTGAAAAAGAGCAAGAAGAAAAACCAGCAGAGGCTTGGGACTTTCCGAGACCAACACTTTTTAATAGTTTCCAGGCCCCGGCTGATGTGGAGTTAGCCAGGCTGTCGAAAAAGTAGCGACGCTTTGCAGATCTCACCATCCGGTTGCATAAATTTCTGGCAGATTTAAACCGATTCCAGTTATCTTCCGATCTTTCCTTTTTAAACTTGCGGAAGGCCCGATCACGCCTAGTCATGGCCATACG